TGTGTGACCAGGGACCAGTCACTTAATTTCCCCACATGCCAAATGGACATTGAGCATCCACCCATTCTGCCTCTCGGGATTGTTATAAGACTAAATGAATCAATTCCTTTTTGGCAGTGTTCAGGGACTTGTTCAAGGGAAGAATATGGGTTAACCTCTGGACAGTGTGCCTCATGGATGTCCTTCTGTGACCTGAGAGACAGAGAGAGGGAGAGGACAAGAACTGTCATTTGTTTTGACACCTGCCATGAATCAGTCGCAGTATATTAGGTATTTAACTTAACTCATATAACCCTTGTGCAGTATAAAGCAGGCCTTATATGTCCCATTTTACAGATGAGGAAGTTGAGGTTTGGATTGCTACAGTACAGCACCTAAGGTGTGACACTTGGTCAGTGATAGAGCCAGGATTTGAACACAGGTCTCTGACTCCAAAACCTGTGCTCTTTCTTCTACACAAGGTCAGTCTGAAGAGGAGCACACCTGGCTTCCCTTCTGGCTCTTCTCTTCCAATTATTCTCATGTCTCAAGTAGTGCAGGGAAAGCCTTAGGCACACCATGGTTACTTAGGTACAGCTCTAAAACTTTCCGGGATGATGTTGCCTTCTGACCTTGAACTTGCCTCTGCTTCCCCCAGGCCCAGCCTGCTGGATGCAACTAGTCCTGTCCAGTCTTCCCAAGTCTGATCAGGAACACTATGCTTGAACAGAGAGCATGGAACAGAGATGAGACCTCTGAGATGGGGAAGGAATAAGAAAGAGGCAAATGTACCCCTGCTTGGCTCAGGAGGTTTGAATTGTCACAGACCTTTCTTAGAAAAGCAAGACTGGACCCTCAAAAATACCTGGGCACATGTGCAGGACTTTGCAATGTCTTCTGCATCTTTTTCAGAAATTCCTGAAAATTCTTCTGATGGCTTGGAATGGCATGGTTTGCAGAAGGCACCCCGCTTCGGCTAGAATTGGCTATGTTGGTGTGAAGGATGGGGGCAGGGGGGTGACATCTGCTGGAAATACTGATAAAGCTGTCCTGACAGAAACCCCATAGGGATTCCATAGCACTGTTTGTTTTAAATTGTAGTGTAAAGTGTTCCCAGTCCCCAATATAGGGCATCAACTTAATTCTCCACCAGCAGTAGAACGGGTTCAAGTGATAATCTGTTTTCTTAGAGTAAATTCAGAACCCTTGCTCAGAGTGTCCACATGCCTGGCTAGACAGGAGATGGGGGAGGTGGGGAGAGGAGACGGGCCCCTCATGGCTGGGTCAGAGCCCTCTTGGCTCCAATCCACTTGACAAAGCAGTGAGTACATTTGTATCTATCTCTCTCGTCTCTCCCTGGACGTCAGACAATGGGCTATGAACGTCAGGCTGCTCCCTTTACATCTCTGCTGGGGGCTTGGAGAGGAGGAGGGGATGGGGAAAGGGCTCCCTATTTAGAAATTGCATTGAGATGGAAAGACAATGTGACACATCGGCTCATGTCAAAGGAGCCCATTCTTCTCGCCTACGGCATTAGCAATTTCCTACCGAGGTTTAATTTTTCTTTTTTTTTTAGAAATTGTTATTTTGTTTTAATATATTTTATTTGTAGCACAACTCAGCAGGCTTTTACTGCTCAGAGCAGCGTGGGGACCTGTCCAAAGGCAGTCACACCACTGCCTGAGAGACTTGGGGTGGGGGCAGGGCATGTGTACTTTGGCTATTTCTGAGGAGAGGAGGGCATAGGAGTGGAAGGCTGCTAGTTTCTGCCTCAAACCTCCTCCCATTCCGCTTTCCATCCCTCCTCCAGTCCCCCTTCCTGCTTCTGAGCAGTCGGGGAGGTGTGTGCGGCAGACTCAGAATGCTACGGCCACAGTTGCAGATGAGATGAGAGCACTGGGGGAGGGGAAGCCCAAAGTGAGTCTGGACACCGTCTTCTTTAGAGCCAGAAAAACTGCTCTTCTGTCCCTTTTTCCTTTCCCCCCTCAGCCTCCTCCTTTCCCTTCATGTAAAATCCTAGAATGTTGTTGCTGGAAGGAGCCTCCGAGAGCTCCTCATCTAGCTTCATCATCTGACAAATAATGAAACTGACACCCTGAGAAGGGACGTGACTGCCCTGTGGCTGGTTTAGTGCACCAGTTCTGGAACCAGCCTCCCAGTGCCCAACCCAGTGCCCTTGTTTGCCACTATGCCGTGCTGTCTCTGCCCCTCCTTCTCTCCACCCACCCCGAAATCGAAACTCAGATGGCCTTTCTCTGAAAGACAGAATTGAGGGGCAACAATTCTACTTCTTTCTACCTCCCTCCCTCTTTACGTCTGAGTGGCACCCTGGGAGTCTGAATTTGGTCTTTGCCTGTGGGAGTGGGCTTGTCAGGGAAAGGGGTTTTAGAGAGGAAAAGTTCCCATCTTTACATGTTTTTTGTTTGTTTGGTTGGTTGGTTGGTTGGTTGGTTTGTGGCTGGTTATGTGACCACAGGTATCAGCATTAACTTGTTAGGGGCAAAGAGAGAGAGCATGAAGAAGACAACTAAGGCAGGGGTTTTTCTTAGTATAAGAAAAAATTATGTTTCTCTTTTATCTCTCTTTCTGAATGAGTATGCCCTCATAAGCATATCTGTCCCTCCGTCCCTCTTTCTCTGTTCTCTGTAGCTCTCCCTGTATCTCCTATATTTGTTTCTATATGTCTCAACCTCTCCCTCTCTTTCTCTTGTCTCTGTGTCTCTGTTTCTCTCTGTCTCATTTCTGTCTCTTTTGTACACACAGATTCACGCACTGCAAATTCAATAATTATTGACTGACCTGGGAGCCCCAGCCCCTTCCCCCAGCCCTGACAGAGCAGAAACTCCTCCCTGTTCTGTTGAGAAATGCCAGGTCCAGAGCTGCTGCTGGGGCGCCAGAGAGGATGCAGAACCATTTGCCTAGTGTGGAGGCTGAATCCGGGAACAATCAGAAATTATCTGCTAATTCTCGGCTCCTGCCACCTGCTCTGCTCCAAACAGGCTCCTTTGCCTTCAGTTTAGATGTAAATTCCCCCACTCGTTGTAAAGCAAAATATTGATTTCCCTGCATCACAGGCCTGGGCCCTTGGAAGGTCCTGTGCTTTTTCATTCTCTGCAAAGGCAAAACAAGGCGCTTTGTTCTGTGAATTTCCCCAAGAACTCAGGAGGGGGAGGGAAAAATCGCCCGCGGAGTGGCAGAGTTGCCATAAACATGGGTAGAGAGCAGTTCTTCTCCATTTGTATTTTACACAAACACAAAACTGCTGCCTCGGAAACTGCTAGTGATCATGTAACAAGGGGCCTCCCAGGAACTAAGCTCTGCATTGGGAGGTGGAGAGGAAGATGACAGGGCTTCTGGGCTCCTCAGGTGGGTTCCAGAACCACTGGGAAGCAAATGGGGACTCCACGGCCTCACCTGTTCTTGGAACAGCAACCGAGCACCTCCTTCAGGAAGGCGGCCTGGATTGCATAGTGTCTCCGGGATCAAGCCTGCTCAGTCCCCCTGGCCTGAGTTTCTAGCCCTCTCCTATCGTAGGCTCCTGAGATCAGGGTGAAAGGTCTGAACCCGCCACAATTGTCCATCCCTCCCCACCTCCCTAACCCTGTGCCCACGCTACGATTGCAGCAACTGGGTCTTCAGCACCGTGGACAGAGCCAAGTAGCGCTTTTCCAAAGCAAAAATCGCCTGGTCCAGCCTACGTCCTCGCAGGCCTCTGCTTGGCGCTCTGTAGCTGCCGGGGACTCTCAAGTCCAAGGGCCCGCTAGTACGGCTGGCGCAGATGGCGCATGTGGAGACCGCCAGGAGCTGGGGCTCCGAATCTCCTCCCTCTGGAACGTGAGTCACCGCCCTAGCCACTTCCAATTAGCGTGCTAATTAGGAGGAAAGACCCTCCTCCCCCGTCCGCCACCCGGTACACACCAGGCCCGCGGCTTCCGGAGGTTCCAGCTAAAGTTTCCTTCCCAGCTCCGGGGAAGCTGGAGCTTCGGGTAAGCCGCACACAGGAAGGGGCCCATCCGCCGACACGCCGAGGACGCAAGATTTTCGTGACAGGGCCCCCGCAGGGCCGCACCCGGTGGCGGCCCATAGATCTCCACGGCTGAGTGCGGTGCCTCGGAACCCCTCAGCCAACCTGCTCCTGGACCTCACGCCATAGTTCCTGGAAGGGAAGTCTGTCTGCCTTAAGTCTAGCGTCAACCCTCCCGTTTTGTTTTCCGTCTTTCTGGCCCTTGTTATGCTTCATAGTAAGATACATGATCTCCGGTGGTGTTCCACAGCTGCGGGGAGGTGGGTCTGGCGGGAACAGAGCGCTCTCTTGAAATGCCCCCCATTCCTATTTGCCAGAAACTTTCCCCTCCCGTTGCCATGGAGAGAGACGGCCGCTGCCTCCCGTTGCCATAGCAACGTGCGGGTACCGTGGACCGCAGGATTGCGGGGCTCAGAAAGTCTTTCTGCAGTTCGAATAGCCCCGCAGTCTTGGGGTCTTCTGCCTCCAAAGCTGAGGACCTGGGACCAATCTGACTAACTTCTCCCGTTAGGAACGTTGACCGAGGTCCTCCCACCCCCAGCCAGGTCACCCATCTTTCTGTTAATGGGTTTATCTATTTCGTTGCCACTTGTGTGGCATGTGGCAATTTACCCAGTGTTTTCGCAAACACTATCTTTATATTCCCAGGCAGCCTGTGTTGCACTCGTTATCATTATACCCCTTTTACAGAGTGGGAAATTGAGGCTCAGAGAGGCCCAAGGTCACACCAGGCAGTACGTGTGGAGTCAGATCCCAGGTTCCACCCTCCAGGGTGCTGGACAACCGGGCTCCCCTGCCTCGAACCCGCGGGGACTGAGACCTGTCCCCGGGCGTGGAGGGGGCGGCCGTGAGGCGCCAGACTTGCCAGCTGCCGCGGGATACCACGTGAGGGGCGGAGACCCTGCGGGGAAATGATTAAAAGCTGAACGGAGCCGCAGGGGGCCGCTGCGGGGAGGGTCTTCTTGGGGCCGCCTTGCCCCGCCCCAGTCCAGCGGCAGCACGGGCTCAGGCGGCTGCTTGGAGAGCCGGGGTGTCCCGGGCATGAGCGGGGTGTGGGGGACCGGGGGGCCTCGGTGCCAGGCGGCGCTCGCGGTCCTGGCTTCTCTGTGCCGGGCCCGGCCGCCCCCTCTCGGGCTGGACGTGGAGACTTGTCGGAGCTTCGAGCTACAGCCCCCAGAGAGGAGTCCGAGCGCGGCCGACACAGGTAACGGGAACCCCGAGCCCCCCTCTCTTCCTGGGTTCTTGCCCCGACCATCCTCTGTCCCCAGAGCCCCGGCACTGGGAGCCCCTTAATCTAGACAGAGAACTCCAGCTCAGGATCCTGGATTCGGAATGAGCCTCAGCCTGTGCCCCGTTCCACCGCCCACAGGGCAAGCGGAGAGACGTGAAGGGGACCTGGGAGGCAGAGGATCCCTGAGCTCCCTCCGTGTGGCTCTACAGGACTCCAGCGCAAAGCCGCGCTCCTCGGGCGCCGTGCCCCTCGGGGGCCTCAGTTTCCCTGGCGTCTCTCCGCTCACCCTGCGGGCTATCTGCCAGGGAAGGGGTCTGTGGAGTGAGTAGGAGACCAGGAAGTAGCAACTCGTCTCTTGGGTTGTCAGGGTCCCAAGGTCCGTCTGTCGGTCCGCGCGTCCGTTTGTCTGTTCTCTCGGGGAACCCGTCCGAGCCCCCTGGTCTCAGGGAGAAACTTAGGTCTGCGAGCCGCACGAGGTCTTTGTGTCCGGACGTCTCTCCGGCTGCGAGTGGCTTTCTGCGTCTCCGCTGGGGGGAGGGGGGGGCGGGGGGACGGGAGGCGGGGTGGGGGAGGGTGTCTCGGCATCCTCCCCCACCCTCGCCCCTATAACTCGCTCCCTCGGTCTCTCTCTGACTCACTCGGACTCGGGGCCGGTGCGCGACCGAGCCGGTGCCTCCCGCCGACTTTGCCAAACGGGCGCCTCCTGCCCGAACGGCGCGGACCCTGCGCTGGACGCAGCCCCCGGCGGCCGCCGAGCCCAGGCGGGAGCCCGAGCCGAGGCGAGCTCGCCGGAGCCGGTGAGTCGGGAGCTCGAGCCCCGCGGGGCCCGGGCCCGGCGCGCGCGGCTGCGGGGTCTCTCGGGAGTCGCGACAGCGGCAATGGCGTGTCGCGCCCTGGCGGCGGGAGCCGCGGGAGGATAGGCGGCCGGCCGGCCCGGGTTATTTACTTGCCGCACCAGCGCCGTGCGGCCGCGCTCGCCCGCCGCAGCCGGGCTTCTTTGTCCGGATGCCGACGCCTGGAGGGTCCTGGGCGGCAGGGAGCACCCGGTCGTCCTCCCTCCGGAGGGGAGGGGCTGGGGGGCAGTGCGAAGCCTCGAGAGGATGCAGAGTGGGGGTGGGGAGAGCCTGCAGGGACCGTGGCGCCGGGATTCCTTTGGCTCCGCAGACACCACCCCTCCTTGTCCCCCGGACTCTGACCCCGGTGGCGCTGGGCCTAGGGGTAAGCGAGGGTCGCCCCTGCGGTTCCGCACCAACAGCGCGGGAAAGGGAGGAAGGGGACGCGGGAGGCGGGAATTTCGTCTCCAGGCGAGTCTCAAGGGACCAGAAGCCGGGGACTGGAACGGCGGTTCCTGGAGCAGGTACAGGTGGGGTAAGCTCCCCGAGGCAACAGCTTTCAGGGCCCTGTTTTCAGTTGAGGTTAAAGGTCAGAGCTCTTGGTAGGTCCTAGGTTAGCAACAGGGCCGCTGAGGGAGAGAGGGAGTAGATGGAGGGTAGTGGCCCAGGGGAGGATTGTGTGTGTGAGGGGGTTGTGCCCAGCCTTGGGCGCATCTCAGCCCTGTGGGGGTTGTAGGGGGCGCTGCTCTCGCGCAAGCGCTCTCTCTGGCCTTGGCAGTGTTTGATCAATGGGTTGATTACTGCAGCAGAAGGGACTGAGGTTAGACATAAAGAAGAACTTTCAGAGGGTGGTACAGGGATGGATGTTGGAGAGGTAATTCTCCGTCTTTAAGAATCTCCGAATAGATTAGGCCCAGCAAGTATTAGATTTTGGTTCTCTGGTGCCATCATCTACACCACCCAACTCCCCATACCCCCCAGATACACAATTTTCCCCAAGTTAGGGAGTGTCTTCCTGCTTGCCTATCCAGGTCCCTTCCTCCTTTCCTGCAATAATTCATTTCCAGTGGGGCCCTCTATGTTGGTTCTGACCCTCAAACTCTAAAGGGGATCATTCAAGGTGAGAACACACCTGTCGAGTTCCACCTGGCGTGGAGGCTGCCCCCCTCTCCTGTCCGTCCAGAGCAGAAATACCACAGAGGGCAGGGGGCAGTGTGCGTTGTGGGGAGGGTGTATGTGTGTGAAACATTCTGATGCAGGTGTTCTGGTGTTCTGACTCCAGAGGGAAACCCCACAGTCTGGAATGACAGGTACCTGTGGCCAGGCTGAGCGTGAGAGAAGTTGAGGAAGGTGAGCAAGCAGGCCCAGATGAATCAGTGTGCCTTCCCTGCAGGCTGCTTGACAAAGAGAGCTTGACTTGTCAGCCCTGGGGTACTTTAACTTTGGCTGCTGAGTCACAAGCCTCAGGAAGCCCCTGGGGGGCCAAGTTAGGGGGCTGAAAGGAGAAGGCAGAAGGAGACCCTTGGTCATAGCCATAGCAAAAGAAAATGGTTGAGAGTGGCTTTGAGTTCTTGGGGTTTAAGTGAGCACAAGGTCTGGGGAGATGCTGTTCAGCTCAGGACCAGGCCCCCAGGTATCCTACTTCCTAGCTTAGTCCCTGCATCCCAAAGCCACTGCCTGGGTCCAGATTCTACAGTCAGAGAAATGCTGGATCTTTTCATTTGTATTTTCATGAAAAATGCAAGTGACTAGAGCACGCCTAATTCTCTTTGCCTCTGTACGTTTCCCCCTGCCATCCTCCCACTCAAAGTCTCTAGCTCACGGGATCTCTAGTAACACCCCGAGATTCAACAATTGAGATTCGGGCTCTGCTGTCACTTACTGGGACCCCCTCTGTATATGGTCCGTGCTAGGAGTTGCACAGGAAATCTCAAACAGATCTCCTTAGCTTTCATGACTTGGAAATACCTCTACACAAACTGTCCCAGATAAAAACAAGTTCCATTTTTCTTTAAAAATTCTAAAGGCAAAGTGTCTGCTTTCTTCCTTAATACACACCCCCACCCCTGCCTCAAGTGGACACTGACAGGCAGTTCCCTACCTTCTTCATGCCATTTGCCTTGTGGAGATGAATGAGTTTGCTCCACAGGCAAAATTGCAGAGTGTCGGGTGTGGGTAGGGAGAGTTCTGGATTTGAGGTAATAAGCAGAGGTTCAGAGGTATTCCAAAAAATTCAGGGGCCTGATGGGAGATCCTGAGCTGCCCTGTCCCTTCCAGGCTGGCAGCCAGGAATGGTTATTCTCTAGGTTATGTGTGGCCATGAGATGTATGTAATGTTTGTTCATTTCTCTAATGACTGGAGATGTTATGTGACTCAGCTACCTGGATTTTAAGTTGGCCTTTTGCAGCACAGATACTATTATTTCTCCTGCTTGTGATGGGAGGTTAAATGCATAGCACTTAATCAAAACAGGAAAGTCCTGTTTCTATAACTAAATAATCAGTTACTCCCTCACTCCTTGCTGGAAGGAAGAAATTCTGAGGATTTCGCCTTCTTTGAGGAAAGGTGCAATGTACAATCCTTTAGAATGTACATCCTTGAGATAATGTTCTGATTTTATGGAGTGTCTTGAGCTTTAAGATTCTAGAACCAGGGGAAAGTTTCTAGGAGTTGCAGAGTGCTTGGATTTACGGTTCTAGAAGTTTTCTTCTACCTCTGACTATGTTCTCTGTCCTCCATGTCCACAGAGTTGGGGGTATAATGTGGCTGCAAAAAATTGGGGCTAAGACTGAGCCATCTGTATCTAGCCAGGTTTCTTTAGGGTCTGTGGAAGGCTGTCTGGAGTGTGCAAAAAGAAGGGTACGAGAAAGTCCTGCCCCAGCTAGCCAGCACCTATGCTGGTCCTGCTTAGGAAAAGAGGTCTCTGAGCCCTGAAGGACTGAGTCACATTTAGGAACTTTAATCTGAGAGGGCTTTGAAAGCGGAGGTGAACAGGACTTCCAGCTGTGGACGCTCTAGGTATATGACGGTGTCATCCTTCCCTTCTCTCTTTGTTGATCTGTTTTTCTTGCTCCTTGTGGACCCAGGCAGACCTCTCCTCTCAGAACTTGCAGGTATAAACAGGAGGGGGGGGTGGGTAGAGGGAAAGACTCTTTCTGGCTTTCTGTCTGTCCCCACCCCAATCACCCCAGCCTTGATCTCCACACATCTCAGAGGGGCCACAAACCCTGACCAATCAAGCAAAAAGGTACAGTTGCCATCTGCCAAAATAATAATACTAATAATTGCTAAATTAATGCCAACGCTCTGTTAGCTATAGCACTCCGCATTAGCCTCCGATTTATCTCTGAATCCCCTAATGATGGTGGAAGCCGGTGCCCAGTCATAAAGCTTGTGCGGCCATAATTAGCCCAGCATTGTCTCTCCTCATCACAGCTTTTTCAGGAGCGTTAATTCCTTCTCTGTTTGGACTCTGCTAATTATCCCCATCGGTAGTTCAGCCTGGATCTCTGAAAGAAGGAATGGAAGCAAAGGTTCTCTGCTCCCCCCTTCCCTAACCCTGAATTTTAATTACACCAGGTTCTCCTAATAAATTTACAAGCCACGGAAGAGTTTATTATTAATGGACCACGTCTGTAAGCCTTAGAACAGAATAGCTCCTGTTCCTGCAACACACACACACACACACACACACACACACACACTGTCAGGTATTTCTTTGCTACATCTCTGGATGAGGTGTTTCCAGGGGCCACTGGTTATTTGCCTGGTGCCTGGTGGGTAACCTGTAGTGTCTATACTTTCCAGGAAAGAAGGAAGAGATGGGGGGTGAGGAGGTTGTTCATAATCCTCGTCTCTGGGTTTTTACCGAGGTACAGAGGATCAGGCCAAATAGTTGAGAATGCCTCCCACACTCTCCTGGTTTATAACAAAGAAGTGCCTGCCCCCCCTCCCCCACAGCTTCCCTGCCCAGCTTTCCACTCAGCCCCCAGTCCCTTCAGGGGCCTGGCTCAGAAGCTTGGACTTCGGCATCAGAAAATCCCAGGTTTAAATCCCAGTTCTTCTGCTTAATGTGATGTATCCTTGAATAAGTTAGTTAATACCTCTAAACTGAGTTACTTTATCTTTGTGAGGTGCATGCTCATTTCTTAGGGAGGCTGTAAAGATTAAATGAGAGAATGTAAGGGGCACAGTGCTAACCATGTAGAAATAAATAACAAATAATTATTAATATTAATGTATTAATAATATTAATGGTTACTAATATTAATTAATATTAATGGCTCTGCCGAGAGTCTTTTCCATTCCCAGACGTGACACTATTCTTTCCAGTCTCTTGGGCCTCTGTATTTCTTGCTGTTTGATCTCTGGGTTGTGTCTATGTCTCTTTCTATGTCTAAATGAGACCCCCTCAGCCCAGGCAGCCTCTGCTCTGCACAGGCCAGCCCTTACACCAAAGGTTTCAGCAACACCAAGCTCTGAAGCCAGCTTTCTCCAGCTCTGGAGGAAGCAGAGAAAAGGGTCCTTTCTTTTCACTTCCTCTCCCCAGTTTATCTTTTCAATGACAGTCTGTTAGCAAAACTGCCTGTTACTGTTACAAAATGGGTTTTCCTGACATGGAAACCCATTAGAAAAATGGGAACAATAGCAAGTTATAAGAACTGCTGATGAATCTTAACACTATGGGTGGAGAGAAGGGGAGGGGGCGCCAGGGCTCTGTCTTTGGAGAAAGAAGTGTCAGTGAGGAGAGATAAGCAAGCCCTGGGTTGCTAACTAATAACCCAGCATTTTCCAGGGAGAGAGGGAGGCCATGAGCCATTACCCCTGCCGGACAGTCTCACTTAAGGTGACAAGCAGTTCCTGCCCTCATAGGCTTCAGGGAGATCTTAACTTCTCTGGAGAGAAGAGGGGCCTGAGGTGTCTTAGATGCTTTGCCCTGTGGTCTGGTGTCCCCCTTCCCTGTCTCCGCAGGCCCAGCTTTGGGTTCATTCTGCATGGAAAAACAAAAAGCAAAACATGAAATAAAATAGTTGACATTTGGGGAGCATTTGCCATATACCAGGAACTATGCTCAAAGTCTTAGTTTATTTCATCTTCCTAATGACTCTGTAAAGTAGGAATAATTAGAATCCCCATCAAATGGAAGAGGAAACCAAAGTTTGGAGAAAGTTAAGTAACTTGCTCAGGGTCACACAGTTAGAAATGTGGATGAATGCTCTCTGTGGTCATTCTGGCTCTGGCACTCACCTAAGCTATCTGCCCAGTGTCTGAGCCCTCAGTGGAGTCAGCTTCCCTGCCACGGTTAGAAGCCACACGCACCTGTGCCACGCCAGGTCCAGGTGTGTTTCCAAAGCCTAGTTCCACGGCTCCTTGCTCTCCCAGAGGCGGCTGGGTAATTGGCCAGTCAGATTTCCCAAACCAGGTGCCCATGGAATACTGGATTCTTCTGACACCTGAATAAAGATGTTTCACACCTAATGTTGAGTGATGGACCAGACTTCCTTTTCCAAATTTCCAAGAAAACTTTGCAGAAGCATGGCATGTTCTTGCAATTGCTGATTTTTCTTCCATGATTTTCTTTTTACTCCTTTGGAGCTCCCACCTGTGGACAGTAACAACGAAACTGGACACATAGCAAGCAAATGGGTATTGACAGAAAAACTTGGAGATGTGAGATCTTTAATATAGTACATGTTATGTCTTGAGATCTAGCTATATATGAAATATTTATATTCTTTCTGCTAGTAAGATCGTCCCTAGTTTGTAAGGATAAAGTTAAAGCGATCTCTATTAGCGTTCGTGACTTGCAGAATATGCCTCATGCAGTTCTGCCAACGAAACTTTTCCAAACTAGGGTATATTCAAAGCTAGACTTGGCAGAATTAGGTGATTCTAATAGAACAGCTAATGTTTATTATATTTTTTACTACTTTCCAGGCACTGTCCTCAGCACTTTTGATCTCTCTCTCTCTTTTTTTTTTTAATGTTTATTTTTAGAGAGAGAGACAGAGTGTGAGTGGGGGAGGGGCAGAGAGAGCAGGAGACACAGAGTCTGAAGCAGGCTCCAGGCTCCAGACTCTGAGCTATCAGTACAGAGCCCGACGAGGGGCTGGAACCCACGAACCGTGAGATCATGACCTGAGCCGAAGTTGGATGCTTAACTGACTGAGCCACCCAGGCGCCCCTGATCTCTTTTAAACTTCACAATGACCCTATGAGGTAGATGCTATTATTATGCCCATATGACAGAAGAGGAAATTGAGGCTTCATTGAGAGATTAAGTGGCTTGGTTTAAAGCCGGTGGAGATGGACATTGAATGAGCCCAGTCTGACCCCAGGACTGTGATTCTTTCCCTCCAGGCTAAAGAGGAAATAAAGAAGGAAGGAGGGAGAGAGGAAGAATACAAAGATTTAGGAAGTACTTTCTAATTTTCAGTGCTATAGTAAGGGCTTCTTCCCTTACTGGAGGGTTGCCTCTCTCTGGTCGTGAAGCTAGTGCCTGATAGTGCTATGAAATATGAAGAACACCAGATCAGGACTCAAAAGACGGCTGTGTTGCCATCAAAACTCTATCTGCCTCACAGTGTCAAGGTTCAAACAAGATGAGTAGGAAAAAGACTTTGAAGGCTACTTGTGCACCTGCGATTTGCTACAGAGCAACAGGTCCTGGTGGCCTGACCCCAGCAGGCCTGGGGTAGGAAGGCACACATCATAGCTGATCTGGGCCTTGGCACAGTCCTTAGACCATACAGGAGACTATGCCTCCCAGCCCCAGTGGACCTTCAACCAGGATATGTCGGCTGGCTGAGCTCAAGGCACGTATAGTGATTTCACAGGGGCTAAATCCTGTTCAGTCACTCCCTGCCCTGGCCTAATTCTGCTCTTACCAGCCTTGCTAACCACCTCGTATCGCCAGTGAGGGTGAATCCACTCAGCAACAGGACCCGGTTCTCCTGCAGTCAGTCCTGCCAGCGAGGCATCCTGGAAGGAGCTTCTCCACGCAGAGGGAGGGCTTCTTGGTCTTACATAGCCGGTATTGAGCACTGGGTGCTGATTCCCAATAATCCATACCTCTGCCTGCCCTAATCACAGCTCCGAGGGAACTACAGCGGGGGTCACGTGCACAAGTATTCAAAATAGCAACCACACCGAGGAAAAACTGATTCCCTCGGCCCACCCCCTTCCCCCACCTCTCTTTTCATCTATGAATTCAGTTTTTTGTCAGGCTGAACATTTAAATGCACTCTATGCTCTCTGGATTCCCCCATTTCTCCCCCTTTCTCATTAAAATTCTAATTATTACCAGAGCAAGTAAGATGTACGATCAAAGGGAAGCAAAGCCCTAGAAATACCTTTTTTTGTTTTAAGGTGACTCATATGGTAGAGAATGCCTCCAGAACATCTGTAACCGAGAACAGGTGTGAAGGGGTCTAGAGATGGCTGGATACTCAGAATAAGGACCCGTAGGATCTGCGGTAGCTTTCCTGGTGAACCCCAGGGCCATAAAGGCCTAAAGAAACAGTCTCCAAACCATTTAGGTATTGAACTCATAACAGCACAAATTATTTCATTTAATGCCTCCAATGTATATTTGTCCCCATGTTGCCTACACATCTGGGCTGTAGCTCCATTCTACAGCTTTCTAGCTGTGTGACCCTGGGCAGTCTAATCCTCTGTGCCTCACTTTCTTCATCTGCAAAATGAAAGTAATAATTACACCTATTTCACTGGAGACTATTCAATGAGCAAATGCATAAAAAGCACTTTGTACCTTGGACATAGTAATGTTCAAAACTAAATCCAATAATAAAATGCTATCATTTCTATTACTATCAACCTGTATATTGCAGTTGTGATTTATTGTTTTAAGATAATAAATAAATAAATATTAGAACAATCTGGTATTTTTTCTCTTGTGCCCCCGTGACTCACGCACACACACTAGAAACCTTTACTTTAGAAGCTAACTTAGAATCAGCTTTCTGGATCCCTGGCAGTCTCTGTGTGGAGGACTAACCCCGGCTCCTCTGACCAGGAAGAGGCCCCATGTCTCTGTGCAGGGGCCTGGGGTAGGTGGCTGTTGTAGTTGGTTCAGGCCAGTACCCTGCATCTGGAGAGTCAGGAGGCAGTGCCGGCTCCCCAGAGAGGATAGCTGATGTTCCTACTTCCTTCCCAGGTCCCTCTGGATGGGAGACAGCTTTTCCTGGTGCCTGTGTGCATGAGAGTACTCTGGATGCCCCCACCCCCACCCCCACCCCAGGAGGGACTCGGCATCTCGGTACTCTAATCTTAGCTTAGCACCTGACACATGCAGGTTGCTCAGTAAATGCTGGTTGAGAGATCATTATAGCCCTTTTATGCGCCATTCATTCTTGCGCTCACTCATTCATTCTCGCGTGCGTTTCTGTGCTAGGCCACAAGTCAGACAAATATAAGAACACAGAGTTACAATGGCCTACAGTTTAATCAGGGACAGACAGGCTGGGACAGTGTGAAGAGCCCCAGGCTGGGCGGTGGGCATCTGCACCCTGGTCCAGGCTGTGTGTCTGAACTGTGAACCCAGGCAAGTCCCTTCTCTGGACCACTGCTCTTGTCTGCAAGAGCCCAGCCTGGCCCCAGTATTTCTAGGGTCATTTCTCACCTTCGATCCTAAGATTGCTCAGCCACTGGGCCAGGATAATCCAGAGCCTGCAAACCCACCAGCCTGCAGGGGCCGTGCAGGTAAGGTCATGCCCCTCCAAAGGCAATGCCGGTTGCCACCAGCCAGGAGCACGGGTCTAGTGACCAAGCCAGCTGGCCTCCCCCAGAGTTTCCAGAAATTTGATGTGATGATGATGGCGGTGGAATTGCTCAACTATTCAGTTGCCACGCAAGCCATGCAAGACTCCTCGGCTGGCCTGTTCACAAGTTCGCAAATGACCTGTGTGCACACCCTGCCAAGTGTGCCACTGGTTCAGAGCCTTCTGAGCTCTCTAGTCAGAGTGAGAAGAGACCTTGGGCTCTAAGGGTCATTCCTTAAGGAGGGGTAAGAGATCTGCTTCTTCATTGCTTCCAGAGGGAAGCATTGCCCACAGCTCTCCTGGGATGATGGGCATCCTTCTGGAGGCAGGGTTGGCTGGGGGCGACGCAGTGAGCGCTTGCCTCAGAACCAACCACGACATTCAAAATTACCAGTTGTACAGGGGCGCCTGGGTGGCTCCGTCGGTTGAGTGTCGGACTCTTGATTTTGGCTCATGTCATGATCTCACAGTTCATGAGTTCGAGCCCTTTATCGGGCTGAATCCCTGCTTGGGATTCTCTCTCTTCTCTCTCTCTCTCTCTCTCTCTCTCTGCCCTTCTCTTGCTTGCCGTGCTCTCTCTCTCTCTCTCTCTCAAAATAAATAAATCACCTTAAACAAATTACCAGTTTTACAGCAGAGCTCTCAAATAGCTACGGGATGGGAAAAGACAGTTACAGGAATCACTTGTATGTAGCTTTGAAATACACCGTGTGGGTCAAATTCCAACTTAATCCAAGTATTTATTGAGCCTACTGTGTGCACAGTTGAGCATACAGAAGGAACAGGAGACCCACTCCCGGCCTCAAGGAGGTTATGCTCCGTCTGATTCGTTTCAAGCTCCCGACTTTTGAGCTCCTGCTCTGGGCTCGATGGGGGTGGGGGAAGGGAAGAGATTGAGTTGGCCGAGCCTCTGGTCCCCAAGGCCGCACAGCCTGTTGAGGGAGAGAGCTGTATACCAAAAACGACTCCGCTATAAGTCTGGCCATAGTAACAGCTCTAATAGAAATTCAAACAGCATCCAAATGTGAACGCTTCACGAATTTGCACATTTGCTTAGGCTGCTATTTAAATTACTTTCCCTTCCCCGTGCACATGCCAATAGGCAGTAGGGGAGGCAGCGCAGGTGCTCCCCAAGCTGGCGGTGGGGGAGGGGGCAATGCTGGGGGGCGTCAGACCGAGGTGGGCGCCAGGCTGCAGATACTACACAAAGTGGACTGTGGAGCGTCAGCCCTAAAACCGCCTCTCCCGGCTGGCAGCTTTCTCATGACCATTCTTTTCTCTTCTTCCGTCTTTGTCCCTTCTGTGTGCCCCCTTCTCCAACTGCCCCTTCCTGCTTCTCCGCCGCCTCTGTCTGTCTCTGTCCCTCCCTGCCCTGGCTCATGCCGCGCCCAGGCACCTCTGTCAGCCTCCTCGCAGTGGTAGTTATTGTGTGTGGCGTGGCCCTGGTGGCAGTTTTTCTCTTTCTCTTTTGGAAGCTGTGCTGGATGCCCTGGAGGAACAAGGAGGCCTCCAGTCCCGCTTCTGCTAGCCCTCCCCCGGAGGCCCCCCAGAGCCCCAGCTCCGGAGGCAACATGGCGGACAAGCTGAAGGACACCAACAGCCTGGGCTTCCTAGAGGCGGCCGTGAAGATCAGCCACACGTCCCCAGATATCCCGGCCGAGGTGCAGATGTCGGTCAAGGAGCACATCATGCGTCACACGCGGCTGCAGCGACAGACCACAGAGCCAGCATCGTCTACCAGGTGAGGGCGGACATCTCCCTTCCCTAACCTCCACGCCTCCACATTCTCTTATCCAATACATTGATGTGATTCCAGCCTGTGGGGTGCAGAGACCGGAAATGAGAACACCTATGGTTGGGCTGGAGACTATAGCAGAGGATGTGCTCTGTGATGGGTAACCGACTAGGGGGTGGGCACCGGGAAAGGCTGCAGGCAAGGGGAACCTTTGAGGCAGGGAGCTGTGCTCTGCGGTGTGCACTGGGACGTGTGTGGGTGGGGGGTGCTGGGTGTTGGGAGCGAAGGCTAGATTGCCGGGCAGAGGGAAGAGAAAATGCAAAGGCCCAGAGGCATAAAAGTTCATGGTGTGTCTAGGGATATGCCAGCAAAGCCTCACAGAGTCTGTGGCGCATGGGAGAGGAGACAAGAGGTTCCTAACACGTTGAGAATGAGGATTCCTCTGTGACCTTCGACAGAGTCCCCTGCAAGACAGCAGCTGTATACGCGGCATTCTTTAACTGAAAACAGAATAAAACGGAACAATAACAAAAAAAAAAAGCCACCACCACCACATAATGACAAACACCTCTTCAACATTCAGAAACAGTTTTAAAAGAAGTGGTGCATGTAGTATGAGGCATTGTACTTATCTAGGGCTCTGGTGGGCTCCTGGGTCCCTGCAGTGTCTCCCCAGGCTCCCAGGCGACCAGCCGAAGGGAAGGAGACCTGGTCTTCAGATGGGAGTCCAGGAATGAAAGTGCTGGGGGTCACATTTTCAGAGTTTATCATCTGACCTTGGGCAGGTTGCCCACCTTTCTTAAGCCTCACTTTTCCCGACTATACGGTAGGGCTAAGGACGCATAAGGTTGCAGTGCGGGGCCGATGAAAGAATCCGTGTGATCATGAGAGCTGACGATAGATGGCTTATTCTACACCTGGCTGTGTTCTAAGTACTTGTTGTATGTATCAATCCAGTTCGTGCTCACAGCAATCTTGGGCAATTGCTACTTTTATTATCCTCATTTTGTGGCAAAGAGAAGTTAAACGACCTGACCAAGGTCACACGGCTAGACACTCACAGAGCCAATCTGTGCAGTCTGGCTCCAAAGCCCAATAAATGTTAACTACAGTGGCAGTGGTAGCGGTGGCGATGATGACGAAGGACCAGGGCAAGCAAGGCTGGTCCTCCTCCTAAGGGATCTCGTGGTGTCAGGGGGGAACCAGGGTCACATCTGCTAGGAAAGAAACGTAGAAAACAGCAAGCAGGAAAAAGAGAAAAGAAAATAACAGCAAAAGGTAGCGTGTGTCGAGCTTACGATACACGAGGCCCCATTGCAAGTACCTCACACATGCTAAGACTTGGGACGCTCACCGCCACCGGCACAAAGTGTGTGCCGAGAGAGAAAGGGTCGACGACGAGCAGGAGGAAAAGGCCCGCCCCTCCCCGCCCCCTGCAAAGGGTAGGATGAGCCAGGGCCGTGGGAGGTGTCGGCTTGCATGCCCTTCCCCCCGCCCCCGAGCCCTGACCACGCCATCTCTGCCCCCTCCGCCAGGCACACGTCCTTCAAGCGCCACCTGCCACGGCAGATGCACGTGTCCAGCGTGGACTACGGCAACGAGCTGCCCCCCGCGGCGGAGCAGTCCACCAGCATTGGCCGCATCAAGCCCGAACTCTACAAGCAGAAATCGGTGGACGGGGACGATGCCAAGTCCGAGGCTGCCAAGAGCTGCGGGAAACTCAACTTTAGCCTGCGCTATGACTACGAGAGCGAGACCCTGATCGTGCGCATCCTCAGGGCCTTCGACCTCCCCGCCAAGGACTTTTGCGGCAGCTCTGACCCCTACGTCAAGATCTACCTCCTGCCTGATCGCAAACGCAAGCTGCAGACGCGGGTGCACCGCAAGACCCTGAACCCCACCTTCGACGAGAACTTCCACTTCCCCGTGCCCTACGAGGAGCTGGCAGACCGCAAGCTGCATCTCAGCGTCTTCGACTTCGACCGTTTCTCCCGCCATGACATGATCGGAGAGGTCATCCTGGACAACCTCTTTGAGGCCTCCGACCTGTCCCGGGAAACCTCCATCTGGAAGGACATCCAGTATGCCACCAGTGTGAGTACAGCCTTGCCTCCTGGGCTTCTGGAGGATTCCTAGTGCTGGGTTGAGTGGGGTGTGTGCTCGTCCCCCTCACCCCTGGAGGTAGGCGGGCCTTTGCCCTTCGGGATGTGAAGCGGGGACTCTGGAAACTGAGCAGTGGCTCAGCCCACCCTGGGGAAGTCCTTGCACTCCGTTCCAGGGTGGGGTGGGGGCAGCTGAGCTCCCACGTGGGTTGGCAGGGAAGACAATTTTTGCCCATTGCTTCTGATTACACGTTCTGGGGCGGTTCCCTCTACCTGCTAGGCCTTAGGTCTACCACCCGTAGGGTTATCTACCTCTCTGATCATGGGTAAGGACTGGGCCATGTCTCTAGACTGAATCAGACAGCGGCATCTGCCAAGGGCATCCATGTGTACGAGAAGCCTGGAACAGGCAATCAGGAACAGGGCATATTAATCGGGGTGCACGACGTTATGCTGCAGCAACAAATAATCCTAGGATTTGGTAGCTTAAAGCAATCAATATTTAGCTCCTGTTCAGGTTATACACACTCTGCGGCTCGGCTGGGTTTCTGCTTTACCTTGTGACTGAGGGGTCCAGGCTAACAGAGGCTCTGTTTGGAGGTGTGCTCCCGTAGGTACCATATCAGGGCAAAGGAGGTGGCGAACCATGCACTATTTCTTAAAGCTTCCATGGCGAAGCGATCCATGTGACTTCTACTCACATTTCATTAGCCAAAGCAAGACACACGGCAACTCAGGAGGGCAGGGCAAAGAAGTCCTACTGAGTGCCCAGGAGGAGAACTTAGTGACCAACACTAGTGACTGCCACACAGCCCCTGTTCTCAGGCATTGCCTGCCCAGGCCAGTGTGAGCGATGGTGGAGGCCAGCCTGGAAGGGAACCCAAGTCCACACGTAGGACAGGGGGTGCCGAGCTATTCACAATCAACTGCAGTTAACCAGGGAAGAGTCCAAGGAGCTGAGGCTCAAGCTGGCTTTGCAGAGGGAGGACAAGTTTGGCACAGAGAATGAGGAGGGCATATCCAGAGCCCTTTGGTCCACCCAGTGTAGATCCCACAAGTGTGGTTGATGTGCCTCTCTCTAAGCCCATCCAAGCAGCTAAGAGCTAGGTTGAGTGTACCCATCAGATACCAATGGCCTCACGTCTGGGTCTTGAGGGCTAGCTGGTTGAGTGTCTCCCAGGATACTTCTTGCACTCTTTCTCTGGGGCAGGGATGACCCTACTCGGTCTGCAGACTCTCCCTTTGAACAGCCAATTCTTAGTATCTTTATGTGTTGAATTTATGAGGAGAGAGGCCAGGAAAATCTGCCCTGCTCTGATGGGAAAAGTATAAGAAAGTTGATTTGTTCGAAGCTTGGTGGGCTCCGTTTCTGCCCTAGGGAAGGACTCTGAGACACCCCGTTCTCCCAGTTGGTGCTGACTCTGACCAGATCAGTCTGATCCCCCAGTGCATCCCCCACCTTTGCTTTCATGAAATCCCCAAGAGCAGCACCAGCAGCGGGGCCTGGCAGACGGGGCGGGCAGACGGGGCGGGCTGGAACAGCAGCTGCGCGCCGGCGAGCCCAAGAGCTCTGCTCTATAAATCACTATGAAGTTTACATCTGGTGCAGCTCTTCCCTTGTGGTCTCATCAGGCAGCAGCTTCATTATGGTGACTGCACAGGTAGAGAAAAGCAGCGTGGTCCTTCCCATGCTGAGGTGGAGGCCCAGAGGTTCCGAGAGACGGAGGAGTGAGGGCCAGTGGCTGGGGAAGCAGCCACTTCCCTCTCCTGGTTGCTCCCTCTCCTGGACTTTAGCTCCAGGTATGATGCAAGACCTGGGCCTGGAATGGACAGTTGTTGCCTTAAGCCCACTCCTCATAGGGAAGCTAACTTCCTAGACACTAGAACTCTGTGGCTATCCTTGCCCTCATCCCCTCCCCTCCCCTCCGCCCTCCGGGCCCAGCTTTAGAAAATGGCAGATCACTGGGCGCCTGGGTGGCTCAGTCGGTTAAGCATCCGACTTCAGCTCAGGTCATGATCTCACCGTTCGTGAGTTCGAGCCCCGCATTGGGCTTTGTGCTGACAGCTCGGAGCCTGGAGCCTGCTTCGGATTCTGTGTCTCCTTCTCTCTCTCTGCCCCTCCCCTGCTCGTGCTCTATCTCTGTCTCTCAAAAATAAATAAACATTGAAAAAATGTTTTAAAAAAAGTAAGAAAGAAAGAAAATGGCAGATCATCCAAAAGGTGTTGGGTAGATAGTCATCATCCTCATCATCCTCAGTTAGTACTGTTCCAGTCCTCTTCCTAAGCAGAACACTGTGCCAGGCACTGGGGAGTGAGTGGGGCTGGGATCGAAGGCAGCCCCTTCGACCCACACAGAAATGTACAATCGAATTATGGAGACAAGAGACGTCCCTGCAGCAGTTAGTAACGCTAAGTAATGAAGAGTGCATTCTGTGTGAAGTTGGAACTGCGGGTTGGGACAGCCCGGGAATATTTCCCGGATAAGGAGGAATGAAGATAGATGGGGAGGGGAAGTATATCTAATCTGATTGAAGAAGGGCTTGCATAGTCACCAGGAGCACAGGGAGGCCAGGCGCGGGAGTTTCTGAAGGTGCCTGGACTCACACACCCTGTCTTGCTTGCAGTCTGAGCTGATGTTCTGCCAACAGGAGGCCCTTGGGGCCCTCCAATCTGCAGCCCCTCCCATGGGCCGGCGTTCAAGAGTAGGCTCATCCTCCTGGAGGGTGAGGAAAGGGAAGTAAGAAGTAAGAAGGTTGGTGCTTTTACCTGTTTTTTGGAGCTGACTCTGAAATTGTAATTATTTGGGGGCCAGAGAGACACAAATCATAGTCACTGTGAATGAGCGCTGAGCGCATGTGAAATCCTGCAGCCAGCGTGGTGGGGGCGGTACAGATGAGCACAGGGACTCCCATCTCCCCTGCGTGCCGGATTCCATTCCTAGAGCGGCGTTCAGGCCCTGCTCTGCTCAGAACTCTGGCAGCACCTCTGCCCTGCAGGCTGCTCCCCTGCGCGTGCTAACATTCCTGCGTCCTGCATTTGCTCACAAGGTTCCCACTGTCAGGCAGGCCTTACCCCACTGCTCTGCCTGGCCCAGACCAATCCCCCTTCCAAAGTTCTCTGAGTCCTTCCGCTCCTACCAAAATTGCTCCTCTAGATATGTCCCGAATCATATTCGGTCTTGCAAAGTCCTCCGCATGGCTCAGGAATACCTTTTGTCCCACATTTGACTTTCTCTTGTATTTTTCCTCAGGGCTGAGTGTGTCATTTTCTGCAAACGTGAGAATCAGCACTTTCTTGTTGAATGACCAGTGGTTTAGCTAATTCCATCAAAACTATATACTGGTACACCAAGAAAAGATTCTTGAAGAAGCAATGGGAATAGGGTATGGTTAATCTGGGAAGGCTTCCTGGAGAAGGGCAAATAGTATTTTGAAAACTGGGTAGAGCTGGGCTTGGTGGGGACAGAGGCAGCCTGTCCAACCCTTCAGAGGTATGGTTCAGGGAGACGGTCTGTGTCTGGAGCGGCAAGTTGATTAACCTGTTGGATCAGAGGGTCTGGACTGAAGTGGGGGGTCAGTGACCTGCGGGTTAGGGAGGACAGGCACTGTGAGAATCGGGGTTTAGGAGGCTGCTCTGAGGTCGTGTGAGTCTGTGAATGCTGTCTCCTTGCTGGTCCTTACACTTGCATTGGGGTATCACATTCAGCCCTGGCAGGTAGAACCAGGTGTGTCCCTCGTTTTGGCTCCAGCCCAAGTTGGTGTGAAGTAGCAAAGCCTGGAACATTCCTACTGTTTTCTCACAACCGCTGAAATAAGAAGTTCCCAGGCTAGTGAAAGGGAGGTGTACTTCTGAGGAATCTAGCTCTTGGTTCATTGCACATCTTAAGCCACGAGGGACATTTGCCTCACCGCCCCCACGTTGTTCTGGAGGGAAGCCTGGGAGCAATGGAGGTTGCACACACCTCGCCAGGCTGGAGAGTGAGAAGCCGGCAACCCGGACGTGCCAGAGTCATCGGAGGCCTCTCCTGTTCCACTGAATCGAGGAGCTCAGAGTGGGAAGGAAATCGTGGAAATTCATTAAATCCACTCCAGCCCCAGGCAGGGGTGGCCGCCCCCCCCCCGCGCTCTTGCTGCCCCCCACTCCTGCCTGGCTTGACTAAGCACCCCTGGTGGTCTCCTGGGCGTTCCCAGCGGCCTGCCGGTTTCCCTCCGCCTAGAGCTTTGATTGGCTGAAATCCCTCTGCCCTTCCCTCCCCCACCTTCTACCCCAGTCTCATTATTTCTATATAAAGCTGTAGATTTATCATTATAATAGAGCCGCCGTCACCCGGGTTTGCTAACATCCCTGTAATCTTGTAGTTATTGCTACAGAGGCCTCAGACCCCACTGCACACAACTGTTCTGTCGCTATTTCTGCTCCTTGGTGGCGGGGGAAGGTGAAGCCTGTAATTGGGGCCATAAATATGTGTTGTGCTTGGTGGCATTAACGGACTCAGCCATCTTCCTGCCTTACCAGGTCCCTGACAGGCCGGAGAGAGCAGGTCTGGGTGTGTGTGCGCATGGGTGACGGTTGCTTGGGGTGATGGTGTGCTCTCAGGGACCCTGGGCTCAGAGTCTGCGGGGAGGAAGAGAGGCCATATGTGGCAGAACAGTCTCCAGCCTGGGAATGAGCAGGGCTGTACACAGCGAGCTCGGGCTTTGGTGCCAAACAGACCTGGGTTGTATTCTTGCTTCTGCGCTTTCTGGCTTTGAGACCTCGGGGACTTTACCTAAATTGTGCCTTCATTTCCACATCAGCAACACCGGGATAATACTGGTGGGTAGATCGCCTGTAGCGATATTTATGTAGAAAAGTCAGGGCGCCTGGGTGGCTCAGTCAGTTTCTTGATTTCAGCTCAGGTCACGATCTCACCGTTTGGTGAGTTTGAGCCCTGCGTTGGGCTCTGTGCTGACAGCGCAGAGCCTGCTTGGGATTCTCTCTCCCCTTCTCTCTCTGCCCCTCCCCCACTTGAGCGTGTATGTACATGCTCTGTCTCTCTCTCTCTCTCTCAAAATAAATAAATTAACATTTCAAAAAAAGTAAACATACCTGAGATGCCTAGGTCAACACTGTCACAGAGCCCCTAAGCCCCATTGTCACAGTGACTTCCCTTCTAGCTCAGCCTGTGGGTCACTGTACCACTCTCAAACCTGACCCCCCACTTGGGTCCAGACCGCCTATTCTGACAGGTTGTTGGTTATTCTCATTCTTATTTCTCGTCTTAGCCATGCCGTATGTGTTCTGTGTGACCTTGGAAAAGTGACTTGTTCCCTCTGAGCTGCAGTTAACTCAGTGTTAAACCAGCTTCAAATTTCCGAGATTCTGAGATTCTTGGCTGGTCTTACTGAGAAGTGTGGGGCTCTCTTGCTTTCAGAGCAGAGTTACCCAGTCCCTGGGAGTGTGCCCATAGGAGAGGCCTCAAGCTCAGGTTAACAGGCCACTGGGCAGAATTTCCAGACAAATTCTCCTCCCTGAAGTGTCAGTAAGAGTCAGTCCTCTCTTCAAGCCCCTGGGAGACGTCTTTCCTCCAGGGGGCTCCTGCCACAAGGAAGCCCCACTCCCCACCAACAAGCTGTCTTCCTCCTTTTCCCATGAGGCACAGTCCCGTGGAGGGGACTTAGCTCCCTCCTCATCCACCTCCTTTCACGTCCCTGTTTACCGGGGTGGGGGGTGGGGGGTGGCCCTTGACTTGAGCTCCTACCAGGGGCCTAGAGCACAAACAACTTTATCACATTTTATCCTCACCACAAGACTTATTGTCATCCCCTTTTTGTAAACAAAGAAATGAAGGATCAGGTTAAGTGACTTAGGAGCATCACCCGGAGAGAAGGTGGTAACCAGCCAAGATTCAGATCGGGATCTTCAACCAAGCCTGTGTTCCTTGCACAGCTGGAGCGGAGCAGGATTACATTGCTCCCTGGGGCAGAAGACAGATCTTGAGATTGTGTGGCTCATCAAGGGATCTGGAAGAGAGCTTTGTTTTCTCCTTGCCCTGGTTAAGTTCTCTCCTTCCTCTCATTCCAGGGGGTGGCTTTTGTGCTGACACTGGGACTCCTTTACCATCTCCCCAGGATTCTTCCTGTGGGAAGTGGCCTGACATTCACGGCTCTTTTGTTCAACCAACCTTTATGGAGCTTCAAGTGTGTGTGGTCAGTTACATCACCAAGCAGTTGTTGGGTGTAGAAGCTTGACCTGGCTGTGGAAAGGGTGGCAGAGAAAGAGCCCTTTGCCTCGGAGTGCCCAGGCTAATGGGCGCCTTAGAGCAAACCCAGTGGCCCCTCAGCCCCCTCGCACACACGGCACATGCTCGGGGACAGACAAGTTCAGGACACTTGCAACAAAACTGTGCTCTACTACAAGCCCTGTGCAAAAATGTTGCGGAGAAGTGGAGAAGAGAAAGCAGAGTCAGAAAAGGAAAGTTTTAGGCTAGGCCTCGATGGCAGTGAGGGTAGGGTGTGCTAAAAAGTGGGGGTAACAGAGGTAGGGGAGTGTGTTTCTTTATTTTCTCCAGATTGGGGGAAGGATCCAGAAAGAACTTCTCTCACATCAGATTGTTGTTTGTTTTTTTTTTTTTTTCCCTTTGTGACAGACTATTTGTGTAATTAACTATATACCGGGCACCAGCTTAGCATTGGGAATTCGATGACTTAAACTCCAGTCCTGTCCTCAAAGCCTCATAGTCTGACGGGGGAGGCAGCTCTGCCATCCCAAGGGACGTGCAGGTCCTCACTAACCCAGCATGTTGAGGAAGGCTCGCCTCCTGGAATGCAGTTGCCTCTCGCCAGAAAAGAGTTCAGTTGTATCACCTTCTCACCCCTACTCAAGTCAAATGAGATCCAAGGGTAGCCACAAAAGGCCTTTTCAAGCAGAGCTGAAGAATCAGCGAAATTGATCCACAGTGACTCATTAAATCACCGTGGGATGAAGCCTCCCCAAGGCTCATTGACCAGCCGTTCGATGCAGCTCGCACCTTGGATCTCGGGCCCACGGGGCCATCCCGGCTAGAAGGTGGGCGGGACAAGAGGGAAGCATGATGAATCTTCATCTGCTCAACGTACCTTCAGGGATCCCTCACGGAACTTATGTGGGTCCAAGAACAACTGAAAGGGCAAATAGAGGCCTTGCTTTCAAGGAACTTATCGCTTGCTGAGTGAAGGAAGGTGTCAGAGCAAGTCGATGTAATCAAAAGAACACAATAGTTTGAAGTGATTATGGAGGGCGGGTGATTGGGATGAGGGTACGGTCGGCAGAAGTTGGGAGCAAAAGCTGAGCTTTGGGGACACCCACAGTCACGGAGGAGGAGGCCGGCAAAGGGCAGGAATCAGGAGGAGACCCAAGAGAAAAGAGGACTGAGGAAGCAAGGGGAAGGACACTCGGGCAGGGATCTATCCCCACTGTCCACGAGGCACCGAGTGCGGTCCAGGGCCCTGGGACTGCACTGCTAAACAAAGTCCTTGCTCTCAAGGTGATTACACTCGGGTTGGGGGACACAAATCGGTCGGTGAGGCAAACAGTACGTCAGAAGGATACTGTGGAGAAAGCAAAGCAGGGAAGTATGGTGGGGAGGGAGGTCTGAAGAAAGGATTGTGGGCGGGGGAAGAAGGGGGGGACAGGCTGGTCAGGAGAGACCTCCCCGAGAGGTGCCCTCGGAGTAGATCCAAACGATGACCAGGAGAGAGCCATGCAGATATCTGGAAGAAGAGAGGTCCAGGCAGAGAGCAAGGCAAATGCAAGGAACCTGAGACGGGAGGGCGCCTGGCTTGGTCAGAGAGCAGTCAGGGGGCCAGTGTGGCTGAAGCGAAGTGGGTGGGGAGGGAGTGGAGCAAAAGACGAAAGGAGAGGAGTAAAGGGGTGGGAAAGCTTAATGGGGCTCCACAGTCACACATTTTTAACTATCCCTGTGGCTGGCAGGTCGGGCGCGGACTATACAACCAGGGCGAAGACAGAGAAATCAGTGGGGAGGCCATTGCCGTAAAAAAGAGACAGCAGTGGCTTGCGCAAGGATGGTGGAGACCTAAGACCTGGCTTGACTCTGCATATATTCTAAAAGCGGAACTGGCAGGCAGTATTTGCTGGCAGATTGGGCATAGGGTTTGGGGTATGGGGAGAGAGAAGAATCAAGGTTTTCAGCTTGAGCAGCTCGGGAGGGCTCACCATTCACAGAGTTGGGGAATCCTGGAGGAAGGATCCATTTGGAAAGAAGATCAGAGGCTCAGATTTGCACACATTATATTCCCAGATATATGTCCCAGATACTTCTGGGACATCCAAATGGAGTTGTTGGATAGGAACTTGGATATAGAGCCCAGGGTCCAGAGAGAGGCCTTGGCTAAAGAAATAAATGTAGGGGCACCTGGGTGGCTCAGTCGGTTGAGTTTCAGACTCTTAATTTCGGGCTCAGGTCATGATCCCACAGTTCATGGATCAAGCCCCATGTCAGGCTCTACACTGACAGCACGGAGCCTGCTTGGGATTCTTTCCCTCCCTCTCTCTCTACCCTTCTCCTGCTGTCTCTCTCTCTCTCAAAATTAATTAATTAACTAAAAAAAATAAATGTAGGAGAAGTCAGCATATAAATGGCGTTAAAAGCCATGAGAGTAGTTGCGATCCCACGTTTAGACTGAGCCTTGGGACTGTCCTCTCTCGTTGTGGGGACTGGGAGGAAAAATCAGCAAAGATGACGGACCCCTAAGGGTCGGTGAGGTAGCAGGAAAAGCGGGGAAGAGACGTACCCTGGGAAACAGAGAAAGTGTTTCCAGGATGAGAGGGAAAGACCAACGGTATCAGGTGGGCCCAGTAAGAGACACCCTGAGGCCTTCCCGGTTTTCCCAACATCACGTGACAAGAGCTCATCTGGGGAAGAGGTCACGTGTGGAAGATTGGGACATGGGATGTACCGTTTTAGGGGAATTTTCCAGAGCGACTGGCCCTCCCAGTGTGATTTAAAGGACTAAGAAGGTTTGGCAGTGTGTCGTCAGGCTGGCTCCAGGCATGGGTCATGCCTTGGGGAAGGC